GCCGTGGTTCCTTGACCCGGGCAGCTTCCCCATGCCTCCCGCCATGCTGAGTCATCCTGTGCTTGGAATTCGGACAGGGACCCGTTGGGTCCCACCCTCTGCGTGTCCCAAGGAAGATTACTTTATCTCAGGCCTCCCAGAGGCCGCTCCTGGGCTTCTGGAATCTGGGGCTGACACAGGCCAGGTCGGGGACAGAAGGGAATGGCCGTGGGTGTGGTGGCACTCTGAGGAGCCAGATCCTGTCTGTGGGGCTGCTTCAGGGACCAGGGGCAGATGGGGCTCCTCAGTCGGCACTTTCTGTGCCTGTGTGTCAGGAGGCTAAGGCAGGAGTGATGCAGATCTTTCCTTCTGATTTTTAAAAGTTTTTGGTGCACTTAATTTCTTGTACACCTTTTTTATTAGTGTATATGTACAATACACAGTGATTGCATTCATTGTGGAAAATTGGAGTATGTACAGAATGTATCTCAGTCCTTTTTACTTCTCTTTCCTTTTCCTTCCCTCCCTTTTCTCTCCATCTCTAGATTCCCCTTCCCATTGCAGAAGGTCTAGCTCCATTTCCTATCAGCTGACTTTTATTCCTTAATTTACATATAATTTGGGTTTCTCATAGAAGAAAAGCCATGTAACACTTAACCATGTGTGTCTCAGTTCTTTCACTTAGCATTATGGTCTCAGGGCATACCCATGCTCCTATAAAGGACTCACATGTATCCTTCTTTATGGCTGAGTAATACTCCATGGTACAGACTGCCCACACTGGATTGATGAGCTGGCAGCACAAGCCTGATCCCCATCTCAGGGAGGCAGCTGAGAGTGTGGCAGTCTCATCTTCAGCTCTGAGGCTGGCAGCCCAGCACCACCTGTTGCCCCTGAGACAGCCACACCTGACCCCTGGACTTGACACCATGGCCCCTCCCTTGGTGTGTGGCACAGCCTTTGTCATCACTGCCCCTTGACCAGTTTTTGTTGTCTTTCTACTGTCTGCTGCCTGAATGTGTTTCTCTTCTGTGATTCTAAAGTTTGAATGAAGTTCTCTTGCTGGTCTTTGCTTTGTGGTTCCAAGGACTGAAACCAGGGCCTTCTTGTGGATCGTATCTCCATCCCTCATCATTTTAAATTTTGAAGCAGGGTCTCACTAAGTTGCTAAGTTGCCCAGGCTGGGCTGGCATTTACTAGATGAGGCTGGAACCACCACACCCAGCTTCTTTCACAGCAATTATTATTGTTTACTTTTCTCCTTTTCACATAGTTCTCCTTAAATTATAGGACTTGGAAACGTCACTGGGGTGCTTCTGTACCCTTGACATATCAGAATAAGCAGATACTACATTTATGTTCTTTGATGAAATGAAGACAGTTCCCCACTCAGAGGCTCCCTCAAGCCTGCTGTGGGCTGCCAAGTGCACGCGAAGCCACAGCTCCATGCAGGTCAGGGTGGGGCTCGCTGACCTGAGGGGGTGGGGAGCAGGACCTCGGGACCAGGCAGGCTGCAGTGCACTCAGAAGGAGGACACCAAGGCTCACCTCACACGCAGAGCCACTGCCTCGAAGCTGCTTTCTCCTTACTTTTACTCTCTGGGAGAAAGTCTGTTTATGTTGCCTGTCCTAAACTGTAGGTTTATTAACAGGAGCCGTGTGTGTGTGTGTGTGTGTGTGTGTGTGTGTGTGTGTGCGCGCGCGCGTGTGTGTGTGTCTATGCACACATGCACTGGGGATGGAGCCCAGGGCCTTGCACACACCAGGCAGGTGAGCCTCCTCTGGCTGCAGTATTTCTTGCCCGGCCCCAGCAGGAGCTCACTGTGTCACTTTACTAAGATGGAAGTGAAGCAGCCAGTGGCCCGCCTGCTCCTCTGGGGTGGAGTATGTCCCTGCAGAGGGTAGGTGGAGGAGCCCCAGGATGGGGATGGGGATGGGGATGGTGAGATGGTCAGGTCGGGTGGCAGGTTGGAAGGAGCCCTGGTGTTTCCCGAGGACCTATCCTCTGAGCAGCTGGAGAGTACACGCCCTGCATTTGGCAAAGATTAGTTGGGTGGAGCCGATGCCCCAGGCCCTGGAGTCTTCATGGATTCCAAGATAAGGTGTCCTCTGTCCTTGTCTTGCTCCTAAGCAGACAGCGAGGGTGCTATTCCCTGCTGCAGAGCCGCACCGGGGAGCCCTGTCCTGGGTTTGCGTTCAGCTGGCCATGACACGTGGCAGCATTCCCACTGGGGAAATGAGGAGGCTGAAGCTGGGAGTCATGGACGTATCACACCCACAGGGCAAGCGGGGCCCCACGAGAGCAGCAGCCTCTGCCTGTCACCTATTGACCTATGCTGTCCAGGTGCAGGAGCTTCCAGCATGTGGGTGACACAGGCCAGGGGACCCAGGGAATGCCCCCCACCATAGGCCCAGTCCACAAGCTGATGTGCCATGCACCACTGAGCCCTCAGTGCTACCTCGGTCTAAAAGCGTCCTGATTCCTAGGAACTGCAGCAGTGGAGGCCATGAGGAATGGAGACTTTCTGCCGTGTGCTCTGCACACTATCACTTAGCAGAGTGGCTTTCTCAGAGCATCCACTATCACTTCTGTCATCCCAAAGAAGAAAGAATGAGTAGCCTGTAACATGTGTCCAGTCCTTTCTGGACATCATCCCGGAGAGCCGGAGGGAAGTGAGGAACCCTGGCTGGCTATCTGCGCCTGGGGCGAGCTGGGGACGATACTGCCATCCAGCCCTGAATGTGATCCTGCAGAGACTGATGGACTGGACACAAGACAGTAGTCACTGGGTCCTGTTTCTGGAGCGGTGCTGGAGCAGGGCATGTCCTGGGGCTGGGAGACAGGAGCGGGGCCAAGGGGGACACTGTTGTCCAGGACCCAGACAGCACTCAGGCCAGGAGATACATTCCAATTAAGGCAGAGGCTTGGCTACAAAATAATCATGTGTCCAGCCAGTTAGTGTGTGTGAGTGTGTGTGTGCACACACACACACTTACATGTGTGCAACATGGCAAATCCCAAAATTCCTCTGGAGCCCTCGCTGGGCAGCGGTGAAGTCCCCAGGCTGAGGACAGGAAGGGCTTTGTGCACTCCCGGTACGTGTGCTGCTGCCGGTGCACAGCTGGCACAGAAGCCCCAGCTTCCCTGTAAATGAGCGTGTTGCGCACACTTGTGTTCTTGAACTCAGAGGTGGTGCAGGTATGGATGGTACCTGAACAAGAGTGGTGTCTACTGCCCAGAGAGACACCTGAATAGCTGCTGCTGTTATTCTTATTTCTTTAGCTCTATAAATTTTAAAGCAACAAATGCTTAGGACAAAGCTCAGCAGGCTAATTTGAATGATACTGGGCAAAGAACTGGTCCTCGTCAACACTGCTTCCTCCTGTTTGTCAAATGCTAATGGCCACCCTGGGGAGCATTCTGGCAATTCCGGTACTGGTGGGCTCAGGCTTGGCTGACTCCACCCAGAACAAGTCTACAGTTTCTTTCTTTTGTTTTTTTTTTCTTTTTCACCATTTTCTAATGGTGAAACAAGTTGTAAACTGTGCTAATCTCTTTGTTCCTTCATCCCTCAGTTTACAGTAAACTTTCTCACTGTTACATTCCGATGTATGCATAGAGTAGGTGCCGAGAGCTGTGGCTACAGAACTGAAGGGGTGAGTTAGGAAGGTGGCTTTCTAGTCATCCCCCAGCTTTCCCATCCATACCCCAGCAGCTCGATCATGTCACTGAACCAGTTTTACACTGTTTTGCCTGTTGTTATGCCCCATCTTAGCAAGATAATACTCTTTAATAAAATGCATTTGCCTTTTCTCCCATTCTCTCAGATGCCAGATCCTCCATGACACAGCATAGCAGAGCTGAAAAGCATATGTACAAGTTTAGGGCTCAATAAAGATGGCAGGAACAGCAAAGGTTATACAGTTGGCGTTGCATTCTCCGCTGGTTTGGGACCATAACATGCGTCTCTCTCTCTGAGCAAACCAGCTCCGTCTCACAGGATAGGAGACACTGGCATTACCCATGACACTAGGATCATCAGGGAAGTAATAAGTAGATGAAATGTAAGGGAATTTTAAGAAATAGTTAGGCCAATACCTCCAAGAAGCAGGTTCAAAAGCAGGTAATTCTGAACTATGTTTGCCCATTATCCCAGTATTCTGTTAAGTTTTCATGGGGGAACAAGAGAGGACCTGTGGTCAGATAAATTTGGAGGACACTGGTTTCAGCAAAGTTTGATGAATGAGTAACATCACTTTAGAGTCTTTTCAAATTAGGTGGTTCATCCAGTAAGTTTAATATGGCAGCTATTTTGTGCACATGGCTGATGTCATTGGGATGTGACTCTTAAGAGGGAAAAGCATGTATGTGTGGGTATACACATGAGTGTACATGCAGTATTTACCAAGTCTTAAGAAGTAGGGACACACTGGGCGACTCTGTCCTGTGAAGCATTAAGAAGATCAGGGATGGTAATATATCTTAATCAAGCAGCTACCAGGGGTTACCCAGACACTGGTGGCCATTGGCGGGGGCAGGGAGGCAGAGGACAAAACAACAATTCTTCCCCACCCACTGTGTCAAGCGAAAGTTTTGTTTAAACTTTCTATGAACACACTCCCCACAAAGAACATCTGTGAAGCAATCTGCCCCTGAAACACACACACTGCTTCCGAGCAGGTCTGTGCCCTCTCATGAGATGCTATAACCACTGGGCAGGCACTGCTGGAAGCGTCCTTCCAGTTCTAGAACGCCTGGCATTGTTGCCTCTAAGATGCAACACTCAAGACAGGGTGATCCTAACCATTCTGCCAATACCAGAAGTCAGCACACTTGGGGACTGAAGTCCTGTTTAGAATTACTTTTCTGTGGCCTGCACAAAGGCCCAGAGTAACAGATCCGTAGGGAACCAGAGGTTTTGAGCAATAACATGTTTTTCTAAAATGATGCTGTCTTTAAAGGTGTTACTGTATCTTTACTGGTATTACAACCCAGCTTTCTTTTTGCCTTCTTTATTGCAGTTACATATGGGGCTGATGGCTTTAGGGATTTTCATGCACTAATTCCCAAAGCTTTCTCTCGTAAGTATATGTTTTGCTTCTGGAAAACAGAAGCATCTTTGTTTCATACTCCATTCCCATCGTATGAATACTGTGATTGCATGTTCTCTCATCGTCTCCTTCCACTACACTTGGGGAAAATGAGATACATTAAATGTTGACCATTCTGCTCATGAACCACCAGAGACTTCATCTGTACAGTACAGCACAAAAGTAAGACATACATAGTTGGGTGCTGTGCATGGTTGAAGCATGTGGCAGGGTAGCTGGCAGAGGAGGGAGAAGAGCATGAGTGGAACTTTACCGCACAGTTGAGCAGCTTTGTCACTGATGTTCTTTCTCCTCGTCTCCTTCCCACTGAGAATAGTGAGGAAATGGTCACACTTTCTGCGACCATCAGAAGAACCCAACAGGTTTTGAAGTTTTACATTCCTTATGGAACAGGAGAAAGACACGGTCTCCTACTTCTGCTCTGGAGCATTAATCTCAGGACTGAGAACTGAGACATGCACACAGGGTTCCGGGACAGTTGGGGTCAGCAGGGCTTCCCTGGCTGGGTGCTCACCCTGTCACCATGCCACACGAAGGAGAAAATTTTAGGGACCTTGTCTAGTCAGAGCTATTAAACCGAACATAGTTGTTCATTTCACTTTTCTTTCCTAGATATTGAGAGCTAATAAATGATAAATAAATTCAGGTGATGCCCTTGAAGGGATATTTTAAAGGGTGTTGAGGATGCTTTTTTAAAAGTGGACAGAGAACCAAGGAGTAAAGCCCTGCAAACTGGCTCTTCCCTTAGGATCTCAGTGTTAGAGCCTGAATTAGTAAAAAATCTCTAGTATTATGATGCAATGCCAGAAAACAGGCTGTGCTTGTTAATTTTGGTTTTTTTCAGTAGGTTTGTTTTGTGGTGCTGGGAACCAGACCTAGGCCCTTGCACATGGCAGGCCAGTGCTATGCAACAGAGCTAGACCCCTGCCTAGTTTCTTAGGACAGTGACACAAACACAGGCTCAAATGCAGGGGGTGAGTAGCAGTTAAAGATAGATTTCTGACTGCCTGGTTATCAAGAAGCTATTTGGTGTATAAGGAAGTTACCATCATCAATCCACAATCTAGACTATTTTTCTAGGGTACGAAATATCAGGGAAATTTTTCTCCTATAATCTCCTCCTAATACTCTTTTGATTCAACTCAAAAACAGCAGTTTGGTTTCTGTTTCTATGATGCATGTACATGTGTGTGTATACCTGTTTGTGTGTGTAAAATTGTGTGCATATGTGAGCAAATAAAACATAAGGAGGTAGGACATGGGACAAATTAATTTTGAGGAGAACCATCACTTTGTCGAAATGTTTTCCAGTGTTTTAAGAGCAACACGGTACATTTAAGGACATATTTTCATAAATCTGAGGAAGTTTAGGCCTGACCTGTTCAGCAGACCTTTTGGTGAAAACTTCAGATGCACAAACTGCTGTATTGAAGTAGATATAGAGAGCTTTTAGATGAGACATGATTTACATTTTGATATATTTTTTGTCTATGAATTTATGCACGTGCGTTAATAAGGCATCTCTTTCTCCCCCTCTTTCCCTTAACATCCTCAAATTATAAATATCTTCCCACAAGTGGCTGGTTGATCTTGATGTCCCAACCCAACAGCAACCAAACTGTTCTGGGCCAACATTGCCCCCTGCTGGTCATAATGAAGAACTGTCCCCTAAGCCCCTGGACACCCTTTTTCTTCCTTCTTGAAATTAACTTCTGTAACCTCCTCTACCATTTTTTTTGGGGGGGGGGGGTACTGGGGATTGAACTCGCGACCCCAGGCTTGTCAGGCAGGCACTTAGGTCACTGAGCTAAATTCCCAGTCCTTCCTCTACCATCTTTACTCTGGTTTGTGTCTTCAGATATCTAAGGAAAATGTATCTATGGTTACAACTCATTCTTTTATATATACTTGTCTTCTTGGATGGCTTTAGCTGGTCTCTTCTCTGACTTATTCCATTTAAAGGCTAAAAACAAATAAGAGTATTTTAAGTACTGTTTATTAACAGAATAGGAACCTTACCATTTAAATATATTAAGTTACAATAAGCGGTTCTGTTAAAATGCTTAAACATTTCATAAATATTTTAGAGGCAGTATAAAAGTATACATATAGATACAGATATCTATATAGATATATATCCTTTTTATCTCAAATTTTCATTGAATTAACATAGTAAATTTAAGATATACCTTAAATATTTTTAACCCATTTTGTTTTATTTATTACTCATTAGTGTTGTAAGGGTATTTCTGGCTCCCATTTTTTATTTAAAATATTAAACATTTTGAGCTTCTATGGCTCAAATTCATACTGCAGTGATGATTTCAGAATTTGTTTCAATGGTAAAAATGCGACCTGAGTACCAAAAAAATTGCTTTTCCAGTCAATATGAGGCCAGGTTCTATAAAGGAAATAAAGAAGAAGCTAAGCCATCTGAAAGTGATACTTGCCAGTGTCCATTATACCTATGCATTAGAAACGTTCAATTATTCACAAGTGTGGATGGCGCTTGGCAGTGAATCCAAGCCTCTTGGCTCCTGCTGGCCTCTGAGTCCTTGGATTCACCAGAGTCTCCCAATGTAAATGTGCCTGAATGTTCCAGTCCATGCCCCATTCAGGTGGGGGTCTCTTGCGACTCTGGGTTACTGATCACATACATGACCTCTAACATACACAACAATAAGATTGATTTTAAGTAAGATCAAATTTTAAGTGGCATCTGGGAAAGAATGTAGTTTTTTTGGTTGTTGTTTTTTTTTTTGTTTTGTTTTGTTTTTGTTTTTGTTTTTTTGTCTTTTTCCTTTTTATCGGTACCGGGGATCGAACTCACGACTGCCTGCTTTCAAGGCAGGCACTTATGCCGCTGAGCTAAACCCCCAGCCCCAAGAATGCAGTTTTTGACTTGGGCCTTAAAAATGTCCACTCTTCATATAAACTGCATGGCTGAATAATAAGGTTGGGCCCCTACACATTATCTGTTAGTCAGTGGGGGAGCTCGGAGCAGGCTGGAGTTCGGCCAGGAGGAGGAAATGAAGGTTGAAGTCCCCATTTCACATTCTATATCTCATCAGTTCAGTCCAGCACCTGCCTGTGCTCCTTGGTGCTCTAAGTACTCAGGTAGGAGGATATTAGAAAATATTTATAGGCATCATCTCCATATTCAGGAAAGTGCTTGCAACATCACTGCTAAGCACTTCTAGGTGGAGGAGATACCAGCTGGATGGGCAGCCTCTGGGTGAACAGAAATCTTTCCATCTCATCTCCATAGCTAGCACCCAGTTGCGATGGTCCACAGTGATAGAAGGACCCTTGCCCCCTACGCTGGGAGCCCACAGCTGCTGAGTCTGGTGCGCCCCTGCGACAGTGTGATTAATGCCACTTGCTTCTCACCAAGTCCTTGGACTGTAGTCATCTGTTCCCCCTTAGACACCACAGAGGACAAGCCACAGGACAGCCCACAACTTGTCCCTATCATGTTGGAATATATCCAGCTCTTAACCCTTGGTAGCTGATCTGGAAGTCCACATAAAAGCACGTACCAGCATCTGTGGATGCAGAGCCTTCTGTCCTGGCCTCATGGTCTGGTCCTTTGGCCTTGGCACAATCATCTAGGGATACTGTCTGTCCTTCTTTTCTTAGAAACCTAGAACTCAGCACTTTCTACCTTCCTTGAACTTTACCTCTTCCGTGGTGAAAATCCCCCCAGTTGCCCTTACAGATCTGGACAGCAGACTTTTCTCACCAGTGCAGCTCTGCAGCATGTGATAATGGCACGCATCTTGGGAAACTGGCTGCACATAGTGCATGCCTCAGTCGTGTCTGCTGGCCCTGTCCCACCCTTCCCTGTCTTCCTTCTCCAGGTCCACCTCCCTGTAGAACCCACCTCTCTATTTCCCATCATCTCTCTTTAAGTTATTTACATTTTGGATCTCTCTCCTATCCAAACTCTGTGATAGTTAAGCTTGTGGGTCATATGGCTCACGTATGGCCTCATAGTTTATCCACTCTGCCACAGGTGATTCAAGTGTGTCCGGCTTTCTGGCAGAGCTGTACTCCACTGTGTGTAAACGCCACATTTTCGTTATGGGTTTATCTATGCTAGACACAGAAGTGGCTTCCAGGATTTAGCTGTTGTGACTGGAGGTAGCAGAATGAGGGTATGCACGGATTGCTGTACACGATGTGTTTTAACTCTTCCAGGAAGATACCCAGGTCAAGCGGATTCCTAAATATGCCCTTCTTCCACTTCTCCCCATGGGCTTGTCTACCCTAAATTGTGTCTGGGTGTCCACATTTTCTCTGGCTTTCGCTGTGCTCAGCAACCCCATCACACAGGATAACAAAGTCCTGGCTTCCATTATCCCTTGTCAAATTAATGTGCCACATCCCCTGGCATGAGAGCACCTGTGATGCTGGCAGCAGCACCCACATCACACTTTCCCCACATGGCCTGGCTTCTCTCCTCACATGCACCTGACCCCCTCACAGAAGCGGCACGTGGCAGCAGAACTTCTTGTGCCAGAGCCAGGTTCCTGCGCCTGCTCCCTGCCACCCAGCTCTTCTCCAAGAAGAGCACACACAGGCATAGGAGATGTGCCACAGAGTATTCCAAGGTGTCACAGGGCTGCTGACAGCTCCTCTGCAGAAGTGCTGTGGCCGTCGTGTGTGCCAGCATGTCCTCAGGATGGCCAGGTAGCCCTGTCCGAGGCTGCAGATGATCCAAGTAGGTAAGGTCCTAGCTAGGAGGTCACTCCAGCTCTGTCCTGTGCAGCATCCTCCTCCTGGCCTGGGAGGCCAGGCTTTCCTGCCTTTGGCACTTCTGCCTCTCAGCCCTCGTGGTAGAAGGTCACCCACTCCAGTTCACTGCACCAGGCACTAGAATAGCCCAGCATCACTCTCAAAAGCCACGAGGTGGATAACTAAAATCACCCCTGGTTGGGGGGGGGAACCACAGATCCTTGTAGCTTTACTGTGTTTCGGGAGGAGGTGTAATTCAGTCCCTTATCTACTGCTCTAAGATCTGGAGACTTGGTGTTTATAAAGGATTAAGTGCTAGCAGTGCCAGGCCAAGACCAGGGCCCATTGCTCTGTTCCCCCAGGGAGGGCGCCAGGCGTGTCCTCGCAGATCTCTGCCATCATGAGCCAGGAGGCAGAGAGACCGTGACACAGGCCATTTTCCCTTCCAAGAGCATCCTCTAAAAGACCTCCCGTGTGGCTCCACCCCTCGCTGGGCTCCCTGCTTCCTAACAGCTCAGCTTCTGCCACATGGGGACACTCATCCAACTACAGCAAGACCGATGCAACCCTTGTGAGCGATGAGGAACAGGTGAATTCATCTTCACTCAATAAGACACACAGAACAGTTTTGAGGGTCCTGCTTTTCCAGGAATCAGTAGTTATGGAACTCAGTGGGCCAAATGGCAGCCTGGCTGCATCCTTCACTGACCTTGTCAGTAGAATGTGGTCCTTTGTCCCTGGTGGCTGAGAGGTGCTATCAGGAAACTGCTCAAATGCAAAGTGCCCTGAACTGCTGATCTTCTGACCTGGTATCTGCTGTGGCAGTTGTGTCCCATGTTCTAGTCAATTCTTTTCATTTCCCATAACACTTTTCTCCAAAAAGCTAGTGGAAAACAGTTAGTGGTTACTCCTCTCATCACTGATACAAAATTCCTAACGTGCACAACTTAAGGGAAGAGAGGTTTATTTTAGCTCACAGCTTGAGGTTCAGGGTCAGCTCTCCTCACATGCACCTGACCCCCTTGCAGTTCAGGGTCAGCTGGGTGGCATCACAGAGGAGAAACAGTGCATGGGGCAGTAGCTGAAAGCTGAGTGATCAAGGGAGGAGGAGGGAGTTAGATCAGGCTATGACACAGTGACTTCCCTCCTCTGACCAGGCTCCACCTCCCTACATCCTAGTCAGCTTTAAATTCAATGGACTCATCTACTGACGAGTATCACATCCCATCATCCAATCACCTCCCCAAAGCCCCACCTACCCATAGTGCTCCAGGCTTTTGGTACTGGAGTTGTGGCCTGCGTCATCTCCACCTGACACCTGCAGTGTACCCACAGCAGGTGTTCAATCTCTGCACCCTTGCTCCTTCAGCTCTCAGACAGGGAATGAATGGTACCTCCCTCGTAGCACGCTTTGTGGGACCTGGCATAGCAGAGCTCAGTTACAGCACTGTGAGCCCGGTTCACAGTGAACACCGTTACCCTTCCTGGGGCAGGCAGAGCCCGCTTCATGGGATGGCATCTTCTACCCATCATGGCCATCCTGAGAAGACGTCATCTGTCAACCCCAGTCTTCATGGCTGCCCTGGCTGACAGCAGCCATCCCCCTGCTGACATGTAAAGAAATCCAGGCATGGTGATTCACCCAAGATCTCAGGGCTTCCACACAGTGGAGCTGAGATTGTGGCCAGGGCCTGGTCTCTTAATCTCCAAGCAGGGGGATTCAGGGGATAACACACACCTGGAGGGCAAGAGACCAGGCAGATGATTCACAACAGCTTTCTCAGTCTCGAGTGTACCTGGGGGTTGGCTGCCAAAGCACAAAGCTCTAAGCCTACCCCAGTGGCTAAGGATGGGACCCCAATGGGACCCAGGAATCCGCATGTGACCTGTTCTCAGGTGACACTGAGGCTGGTACTCTGAGGACCAGACTTTGAGAACTATGGATCAAAAATGATGTAGTCTTCACACACATCCATAATCTCAGAATTTAGGAAGCTGAGGCAGGAGGATCATTACAGGTGGAGGCCAGCCCGACTACATATACATACACAACCTGTATAGAGGAGTGAGACAGAGAGGGAAGAGAGTGTATGTAGTTGTAGCTGTCACCTACCACACTGATTATTTTACTTGGTGAAATGTCCCTCCTACTCATAGGATTCTGTGGAAACAATGGTTGGAATGAGGGCTTTCATTGCAGCGACAGTTTCTTAGGGTCCCCACAAGCTGGGTTCATGTCATCATCTCAGAAAAACACGAAAGAAGCGCTTCATACTTTCTCTGAAAAGAAAAATATGTGGTGAGATAATTACCGAGTGTGACTTAAACAATGAAGAGACAGCGGTGGTTCTCATCTTCATTAACCTGAGCAGTTCACCACCCCACATGCATCTTTCTCTCTGAAAAACTTGTCCATCATGCACATTCATAAACAATGCCAGCAAGCCCTTTAGCATGCGGGAGAAACAGAATAGAGAGCAGGATCAGCCAGTGTCACTATCAGAGGGAAAAGCAGCTAGCTGCATGTCTGGGATCAAAGAAACAGATTTTTCAAGAACCTGAAAGGGATCACGGTCAGAAGTCCAAGGAGAGCAGGAGTTTTGGTCCAGATGTGTTAATACGTCTGTGAAACTAGGCAGGGAGTGATCTGTCTTAAGACCTTGCTGACTTCATACCTTCGTGTCGGGTTCACTCGGGGAGTTCACAGCCAGGGGAGAGGACTGTGTGACTGGACACTCTCCTGAGTGCCCAGGGGCACAGCAGGGGAGAGGGTCAGGATTTGGCCATGCCTCTGACATTGACCCCACCAGGCCACAGACCTGGTGACTATCTCCTGCTTGAAGGGCCGGCCTGATGCTAAAGTGGGATTCGTGAATAACTTGGCCATGCAGCTCCAGATGCTGCTTCCAATGTGGACCTGGAGGGCACTGCAGGTGCTCCGAGTGTCCCTGCGCCCTGGATGACACCATTCCCTGGCAGCCTCCTGCAGCCAGACATGGAAACTGGGGCCACTGTCCCCCAAGTCCAGCTAAGAGTCTTGTGCACTGTTCCCAGCATGGTCCATGTGATCGTCTTTTTGCTGCTATTACTGTGTTGTTTTTATCTCCTGTTTTTGCAATGACACTGAGAGGCCTCCTGTGTTGTTTCTTTCAGCCAGTAATGTTAAAGTAGAGACTCAGAGTGATGAAGAGAATGGGCGTGGCTGTGAAGTGAATGGGGAAGAATGTGCGGAGGATTTACGAATGCTTGATGCCTCAGGAGAGAAAATGAATGGCTCTCACAGGGACCAAGGCAGCGCTGCTTTGTCGGGACTTGGAGGCATTCGACTTCCTAACGGGAAACTCAAGTGTGATATCTGTGGGATTATCTGCATCGGGCCCAATGTGCTCATGGTTCACAAGAGAAGCCACACTGGTAAGGTCTGCCTTAGTTTCTCCTTTAGCTGCCGAGGAGGTCCCACGGGTGTGGAAGGTGCCAAAGCCATATCTTAAGTGACACCTTCTCAGAGGTTTTCAAATTCAGCATATGCAAACAGTGGCACAAAGGGTTCTGAGACATCACAATATTACCCTGGAACCGTATTTAAGGGTCGCCTCAACATGGATCTCTCTGACCCTATAAATGAGAAGGGAAAGGTTAATGGTGTCTGTGCACAGTCTCCCGACCACCTAATATTATACATACTGAGCAGTCTCTGCTGCTCTTGAGGGTGCACACATTACGTGACCCCCTGTAATGAAGCATGGCAAAAGATGTGCAGGCCCCAAAACCGGCCACTGAGATGCTGCAAGTCAAACTCATGTTTTCATTGCATTCAAAGAAACAGGGCTTGAGATTTAGCAACATTAGCAAGCAGTGCACAGACAGCAAAGTGTCATCAAGCACAAGTTCAGATCAGTTCTCAGTTGAAGACTTTGGTCACACAGCTAGATGGCCACTTGTTACCATCTCAAATTGGCAAAGGTCCCTATCATGTAGAGCGGTTGCCTAAGGTTTTGAGGGTAGGAAAGAAGGCGAGGTCCAGTGTCCAGAGATGAAGAAAAATGGACCAAATCCTTTCCCAGAGTTGTCCTCAGGCCCATGAGCTGCCTTGTCCCCAGGGTGAGAGTCCTTTGAGCTTCTGTTCGCTTCTAAGCCCTGCACCTTGTGTCTGCCATACTGAACACTGACACAATGGTCACCCAAGTGTCCAACAAAACTGTCCTTCTACCACTCAGAGCACCACAGAGACTGAGAAGGAAAAGATTAACGACATTTGCTTTTCCTTGAGCTGTATGAGGGCTTTTCCACTGCACAGAAGCACTGCTTTCTTTCCATAAGAAGCCTCCGTAAAGGTGGGCTAATCTTGACACATGCATTGGACTCCCATAGTCACAGAAGGCTCCATGTGAAACTCAGACACTCTTTGTCATCACTACTCTTTGTCATCACCACCAGCTCCAGCTGTCATGAAGTAGCATCTGCCATGCAGCTTCCAGGAGGAAAATCTGACAAACCACAAATGAGAGTGACTTTGAGGTGATACCAAATGTTACAAGGTAGTCAGGAAACAGAGGAAGCTCATAGCTTTCAGTGTTCTTACATGGGATCAAATAAATATGTACTTAACAGAAAACTAAGCAGGAATTCAGAAACTGCATGGAGAAAAAAAGTTAAGTTTCCAGGAAACGTAGGTCTCTGAGATTGTAATTTTATATGTAAATTAGGGCAGTTTTTAAAGGACATATATTTTTGATATATATACATATGGAGAAAACCATAAATCCATTCAGTAGACACTACTCTTCAATAAAAGTGTATCTTCTGAGTTGGGCATGGTAGCCACTTAGCAAGATACTGTATCAAAATAAAAAATAAAATAGGGGTGCCGGTATAATCCAGTGCTAAGGCCTTGGGTTCAATGCCCAGTACTCTAAAACAACAACAAAAAAGTTTAGGTTCTAAAATGAAACCAACTTGGCTTTTCCAAGCAGGCACCATATTCTTCAGATTACCCAGTGAAATAGACCTCTCGCATCCAGCCCTAAAAAAATGTGTATGACAGTTATCCTGCCATCCCTTCCAGTGAGTGGACCCTAACCTGAAGGTCATGAAGGCCACCCCAATGACACTGAGTATACACTCTGAGGTAACAATCATTTCCCTGCTGAGGAATCAACTTCAAATGGATTCCCAACCTGCAAATTCATACCATACCCATCTGGACAATGAAAATTCTCTCAAATGTTTGATAAATGAATCAAATTCTGGCATATAAAATTGTCAAGATATAATGACTGCCTGCCTGGAAAAAAAGATTAATTACCTTTAATGAATAAACCTGCCAAGTACAGATATACAGAATGTCACCTGCTGTTCACCCTCCCTTCTGCCCACAAATAGTGGCTATCACACACACCCCAATCACTGAGATCATCAAGTAAGTTCCAGAAAGTGGGATGTGCCCCAGCTTTAGAGTCCTCACTTAGCCCTTTATGTATAAACACAATAGACTACTAGTTCGACAAACTCAGAGATTTGCATTTGTGTGAACCCCGGCAATCACATGTAGAAGTAGAGACCTCCTCTGGCCACACTAGGAGTTATCATGCCAGGAAGCATCTAGTGTTCCTAGGATCTGGCTGGCTGATGTCAAAAAGGCCTTTCTCTTCCCTATTTCCAGAGAAGTCAGAGAGTCTGCCTCCTCCAGGCTGAAAGCAGGCAGAGATTCAGGCCTGGAGAGAAGCTGGAGAGCAGGATTTCTAATCAGTCCCTGGGTGCCAGGCAGGACTTCTGGCACCAAGCAGGAGTCCAGGTCCTCATGGCTCTCCACAGGCAAGCTGGGACTCCACCACAGCCACCATTCAGCCAGTGGCCTGCTGGAATCCCCAGTGACTGTGGGGACTTCAGGCCATCTCTCCAGAGATGACAGGATGCACTGCTGTTAAATGGTTCACTGGTGCTGGCTTCGCTTCCTGTTGGCCTCCCATTTCCTGTTAGGGACTCAAGTGTGACTCTGAGTGGGAGGACAGAGCAGGAAATACAGAGGGGAAACCAGCATGCACACATATGGCATCACCATTCTAGTAAGAGGACAGAAGAGATGGCGCTTGTGGGGTCTCTGTTCACACCACAAGGACAGAAAATATCACCATGTCTGTAGTGCCAGTCAGGCTGCTTTGAGGTACAAAGGCCCCAGGTACAGTCCCTTCAAATCAGCCCCCCAAAATCTTGAGACAGCATTCCAGCAAGGACTTGTTCTCTTGCCTGATTAAGTTGCTAGGAAGGGCTCAGCCCTTCTTACCATGGTCCCTGCCATGGAGACCACAGAGTCACTGAGATGAAACCTCGGTTTGGAATCTGGGATGTCCACATTCTCATCCCTGTGAAACGGAAGTACATTTGAGCTTGGAGCAACATTATCCAGCTCAGCTATGGGACGTGCAAGAAGAAGATAATGGATGGCATAGCCAGCCTGCCTGTGGGTAGCACGCTGTACTGTCACTTCCAGGAGCACTGGCTTCAGGATTCCCATTTGGTTTCAAATTCAAGGCAATCAGAATCAAACAGATCCCCCACAAAGCTTGTCACAGGGAGTACAGTGTCCCGCACAGCAAGACCCATGAGGAGCATCCCTAAATTAGAAGACAGATATCACTGTCAGAACAGAGGATGACAAGCCCAGAGACCTTAAAACCACTGCAGTCTCCCTCCTGCCCATCAGACCTGGCAGTGACACGTAGCTTCCACCTGCCATCAGTAGACAGTGGTCACACCACAAACATGCTTGTGTCCCCAGCAGTGTCCTGCTGCTCTTCTTATGGGCGTTTCGGGAACATGGATTTTCCCAATGGTGTCCCATCCACATGACAGCTGTGGAGGAAGGTGTGTTCCTCTGTCCCCTGCTTGTACCTCTTTGCACAGTGTCCCTAGATTTCTTCTTTGGTCCAGATGGAGTTAAACACACATACTTATAAACCTGTGTGAGGCTCAGAAGTGTTTGTAGTAGATAATTAGCTCGTCCTTTTTCCAGAAGTACCTCAGGGTCACTGGGATTCCAGCTGATTTAACTTCTCCATCCAGTGTCAGTCTTGTAACTTAGAGGGCTGGGTGGTGACTCAGTTCTGCCGTCACCAGCCAGGCTGCTGGCCCTGAAACCCTTTCTCTTTGCTCAGCACAGGATTTCGCGGAAATAATACATTGTGTTGAGGACCAAGCCCTTCTAGATGACCTATAATTGCATGTCTTTTAATCTGTTTAAACTTTTATAGGAATTCATCTACTCTAACCCCTTCAAAGGAGTAATAATAACCAGGAAATTCAAGTGTCAAGATAGACTCCAAAATATAATCTCATGTGGGTTTTATTAATACTTAATACACTTCTACTTGTTTTTAATAAACTGTCTCGTCCCCACAGTCACATTAATCAGTGAGGAAAATGGTTAAGTGTTTTAACACATTATTTCTAAGAAAACATTATCCCTACAACATATCCTCATGGTATCTTCACAGTGGCAATTTTGGTCACACTGAGCTCTAAGATAAGCATTTGTTTGTTTTCAAAGAGCTTTCATATTTACCTAACGGGGACAAACATGGTGCTTCTCTAGGTGAGGGTTCAGTAAAATCTTCACAGCCCTGGATTCAAAGACCTATGACGTCCCTGCAAGAAAATCACATATTTCTTATTCACAAATCCCCATGTGTCCCTTAGATCCAATACAAGCACAAACCCTGCCACACATGGCAGATGTCCTGGACTCTGCTTGGCCACCAACTCCATGCGCCATACACCAACCCAGGAAGAATTCCTCACACACACAAAATCGAGTTTCTGAGGAGATCTGTACTTGAAACAGCACTTACCTTATGTGGGTGTAGACAAATAAGAGCTTAAAGGTTAAAAAGTTTTGCAGAAATAAAAAGGCAGAAATCTCAATGTAATTCTGACTTTGATGGGGACTTTTCTATGCAAGGTGGGACCCTGGCTTCACTGTGTCTTAACTTCTTGTTTTATTCAATCTTTCTCCATCTCTTTCTCTTCTCTCTCACCCTACACTTTCTCTGTCTGTCTCTCTCTTGATTTGCCTGCTTAGGGACAGACAGGTAATGGAGAAGAAATTGAAAGGGAAAATACAGGGAAAATGTAAATGAAAAGAAGTTATTATAACTGTTATAATGAAGTGCCTTTCATTTAAATATAAGAATGTAACGCTGAAATGAACTTGTGATCCTGAAATGCATTTTTAATGAGTTTCCTTTTTATTTTGCTGCTTCAGTGGCATATTTTAAAGACCCTTTGAAAAAAGCCACATTAAAAACCCCACCAAATGCCACAACACGCAAAATTGGATATTGGTTTATTCCAAAACTGCTGATCAGGAAGAGTGGCTCTTCATCACAAAATGTTGCAGTCACTTTATTTAAATGAGTTTGAATTTGCATTGTGATGTGCCATTCTGATTTAGGGGGAAAAAATTAGATTTTCAGATCAAATTGACCCAGCCAGTGAAGCGTTAAGGAGCTGGCAGGTTTCGTCTGAAAGCCTCATGTTCTATCAAACCTGCAGCCGGTGGAAGTCACCGAGCCCCCGTGGGAAACAACTTTCGCCGCCGCAGTTGTCCCTTGTCCCCGCGCAGGGTTTTGAGTTTTGTTCTCACAGTTCTCCTCTCCTCGTCCCAGGCGAGCGACCCTTCCAGTGCAATCAGTGTGGGGCCTCCTTCACCCAGAAAGGGAACCTTCTGCGACATATCAAGCTGCACTCCGGGGAGAAGCCCTTCAAGTGCCACCTCTGCAACTACGCCTGCCGCCGGAGGGACGCCCTTACCGGCCACCTGCGGACGCACTCCGGTAAGTGGCTGCGCGCTGCGAGGCCAGCAGAGCCCGCACCGTGCCATGCAGCGGCTGGGCTGGGGCTGTGCCCCCGGCCTGGCTCCCAGGCCTCCCCAGGTGCTGGCCGCCGGGACCTGGGCCTAGCACTGCTGCACCGGGCTCCCCACACACCCCAGGTGCCGGGCGGGAAATGCGACGCCCACGCACCGTGTGCCGCACGGTCGCGCACGCAGAGTATGTAGACGCATGCGCGTACACGTACACGTACGCACGCCTAAGAGCGCAGAGCACGCTGGGTGTTTCTGGAACGGCCGCGTGGTTTCTCAGCTCTTGCTAAGCGCGCTTGTCTCACACCTCCGAACTTCTCCAACACGCTGCTTCCGGTTCGGTCCAGCCTGGCGCCAGGCCACCTTTCACCCAGCGTCTTTAATAGAGAGCGAAAGCAAGAACAGTTTCTTGATGGAGGGGACACAGGCAGCTCACGGCACAGTGCTTTCCGCGGTGGTCAGGCCGGCAGTGGCTGAGGTGGGCGCATACAGGTCCCGGAGCTGGGCAGAGGTGGACAGTGGCTCTATCGCAGCTGGAGCCTTGGGGGAGCGGGGGATAATCACACAGTTTGTCTTTAATTAGATTAGAAATCTGGAGGGTCTGTTATCTTAAAGCCCCACAAATCCACGAGTCAGCAGAGCCAAGGTTCTGGAGCCAAAGGTTTGTTCTGCTGGCCTGCAGTGCGGTCTGCACGGCCTGCCACATGCAGGTTCCTTTGTTTCACACCATGCTGTTAGGAGCGTTGCTGTTATGCACTCACTGCACATGGCCAAATTCTCCAAGAGCTGGCCCTTCCTGCTGTCCCAGGATGTGGGAGTGCTGTAGCCCCCCTACCCCAAGGAGGTAGAGACAGGACGAGTTCTTTGGGAAAGGTGGCCAGGGCTCAGCTGTCTCTTCCCAAATCCGAGGAGCGTAATTACTAAATGGTGCAGGTATTAAGATATCGCTCCTGTGTCTGTGTCCTTGTCCCATACTGATTGAGAACCTCTTGGAGCGCCTGCTCCAAGGAGGCACAGGTGAACCCAGAAAAGCACAGCATCTGGTGTGGCAGGCAGGACCTTCGAGGGAGTGGAGGGCCAGGAGACACCTCCAGCAGGAGGGTCTCCAGTGTGCCAGGGCCCATTTTCTGAGTTTGCTTAGGGAGTCCTGAAGGAACCGATTTCTGTAGTGGTTCTGGAAGGGGTGTGGCGGATCTTATTCGAGTGTGTGTTGGCAGAGGTTTGGTCATCCTGGGAGTAGTCCTGTAGGAAAGCACTCCAACAGCTGGGCACAGGGAGGACTCGGGGCCCCGAGCCATCTCTCCATCTCCACTCCCAGCTAGGGGTGGAGTAGCCACATCCCCTTCCTGGGCAGGAGTGAGGCACATCCTCAAACTGGGGAGGGCTGCAGGATGGGGCAATGGCCCTGTTACAGCAGACACTTCCCATTGTCCACAGGGCTTGATAGTGACCATATGAGGCCCCACTCTGAGGCAAGTGATGACTCCACAAAGGTGCCCCACTAAGATTCAGTGCTGATGGGCCACTTGGAGAGGGCAGCCCCACCACTGTCCTTGACTAGGGGTCAGCTAGATACAAAGGAGATTGGCAGCAGTGTTACATTGGGTCTGGAGTCACAGCTGTCCCATCTGTGGAGAAGATGAAGACTTGCTCTTCAGCCCCATTGTTTGCTTGGGGCAGCTCCGGGTCCAGTTCTTGTCTCTCCCACACAGGGCTCCCTACTCCTTAGGGTGACACTGGTCTCTTCTTTCTGGTGAAATGAGAGGCTGTGTGCATGTCACTCTGGCGCCACACCTACCTATGTCTTTGAGGCATGATGAGCCCCTGTTCCAGTGTGGTTGCTACTGAGTAATTACAGCATGTATAGTGAATGTTTAAGCTTTTTAAAAGTTATTACAACACACACACATGGCCTTTAATGCCTCCCCTAGAGGTGTCCTTCCAGCACACATACCCCATTGCTCTTGCTGCTTTCTGAAGCCACTCACCATGTCTTCTTCCTGAGTGTCTTCACAAGGTGTGATAAAGATCGGGGAATACTGCTGCTGAGTGTCAGCCAGTGGGAAGGCAGGGCTGCAAAACCATGCCCCTTGTCCACCTTCCTCACTGGATCTCACACTGTAGCTCCAGCTCTTCCCCAAAGTCAAAATGAAGAGGAAACATCTTGAATTGATTCAGGACATGGGGACAGCTACAGACACTCAGGAAAAAGGATTCCAGAGCTGCTACAGAAAGTGACAAGGACAGTGGGATCAGTGTGCTTGAGGCCAGGGGTAGGATTTGAGGGGGATTTATGGCAATATGTTTTTTATTATAATAGAATGTTTTAAATATAAACACCCTTTCTTGGTCTCCCCTTATAAATAGGAGGTGGTGGAGTAGGCCAGTTTACTTGTGACTCCAGCAAGGAATAGGAGGAAGCCATCATGGAGTCAGAGCTGCTGGTGATTCTACTGTGGGGAAGTGCAGTTAAACACGTCTCCAGGGAAGAAAAGAAACAGAGATTTACGTCCTTCAGAATGTTTTCTCTAAGATGAATTGAAGGTTTCAGCCTTTATCTGGCAAACTCTAAGGCAGCCACGTTCTGTCTCCTTTTGGAATGGCCATGCCCCCACTTTATTAAAACTAACAGCAGCTGCATAGCATTCTGTAGAAACTGGTGGGAAGCATAAGCTTCCGGACACAGCACATCATTGGTGACACAGCTGTAGAATTTGTCCCATGTTGCTTTCAAGAGGAACTTGGGAGCTGGGAACAGTGGTACATACTTTAATCTCAGCATTCTGAGAGGCCTAGGCAGGGGGATCTTAAGTTCAAGGCTGGATCTCAGGTTCAACTTAGTGACTTGGCAAGACACTCTCAAAAAAAAAAAAAAAAAAAAAAATCTGGGGAAGTAGCTCAGTGTGAAGGCCCTAAGTTCATTCCCCAGGACCACAAATAAAACAAGAAGCTTGAGGGATTTGGAAGGTGGGGAAAGGGTCCCCTTTTTTCACTGCTTCTGTAGAAGTTGTAGTCTCTGTTAGAGACCTTCCTGCTGCAAGACCTTAGCCCGGTTGCTTACAGTGAATATATTTATGCTGCAGAGTTAAAATCAATCATGTACTCGGAAAAATGTAGATTCACATTCCTGGTACCATACAGACAGGAAGCAATTTTGATTGTGGAATTCAGCAAAATATTAGATTTTCCAAGACAAGGCATGGAGGAGTTACCTACATATTCCTTTTGTTTCTGAAAGAGTAATCAATTCAGTGTACAAGTTTAGGCAATGTTCCATATTTCAGCACTATTTTCTAGTGTTTAGAATACATCACTTCTTGTAGATAAACATTCTTTTTTTAAATTAAATATTCCAGAAGTCAAATTTTGGTGTTCAGATTTTAGTCTTTTAAATCAAGGCTTCTGTTCTGCTAGGAAGTAAATTTAACTGAGCTGTGGTTAAACCAGTTGCCAAACATTCTTTGGATAGGCTTGACATTTATGGAATACTTTAAATACTATAAATCAAAGAGCCTAAGAAGGAAATTCCTGGTCTAAGGGTAGAAATTTATATAATACAGTCTCAGTTTACAAATGTTTGGGTTGTGAGCTTTCACAGGTACACATTATAAGACTCAGTTTGTGGGCTTATGAACAAATCCAATTCAGAAGCAGTTCTCCCAGAACAGAACTTGTTTGTAAATCAGGGATTTACTGTATTCCTTATATAAGGGACTGAAGAAATTTTATTCATTTTATCTCTTTAAATGGCATTTATTGCAGTCTTTAAATGTAAGCATGATTTAAATTTCTTGCTAGTTTTTTCCCCTGAAATATCATTTAGTAAAATCCAGGAAGGACTAACTACTTGTTATGTTTAGTAAAATCCAGGAAGGACTAACTACTTGTTATAGAAAAGTATTACCTAATATGCTAGCCATTATCCATATGTGATGATTTAATTTTAGCAAATTAGAAATTAAAATTAAACTTTAGTTCTCTATTATAAGCACAGGAGCCACTCTGTTGGAGAGCATGCTGGCTGCTATATTAGCATGATGGCCACCATGCTGGACAGCATGGTAGCTGCCATGTTGGGTAGAGTCTTGGGGCATGTCAGTCATCTGGTGCATTCTGATAGGGTTGTTGTAGAAGTTACATTATCCTAACGCTATTTAGGGATAAACAGGACTCTATTCATGAAAATACACACTATAGGTTTTCCATCTGGAAATATAGTTTGGCTTTTCCATGCAACTTTCCATTTTGTGTTTTTATATTGTATATTCTTATGTTAAATATTTGTGTTATACAGTACAACTGTAAAATACATTAATATAAGAAAATCAATTTAGAAACAGAGTGCACATTTCACTGAACCATCTTTGCCCATCAGGATTTCTTAGAGACCTCAGATTATCCCGCCTAGCCTTTTGAATCACATTCACCCTGGTGGCAGTAGTCATAGCCCCAGGATTGAGCCAGACCTGGCCACAGGGTAGACATAGACAGGAGGCCCACTGTGGAAGTAAATATGTAAATTATCCAGCCTTCCTTGCTTTTATGTTTGGTTGTTTGGTGCCCACATTACAACACTTCATGGTTCATTTGTTCCAATTAAAGGACAAAGTTCAGTGATGCCAAAAAGGGAGAATTTGGCAGGCAGTCTAGCAGTCATGCTGAGGTGAAATAAGAGTTCTTGGTACCGTCAAAAAGTCCCCTGTGCACTAACATTCTTAAAGTCCGTAATTTAAGCCAAGTCCATAATGCTCTTAGTTTTCAAGAGTAGCATTTTAAAAATTTTTTTAGGTAATAATTGTATTGCATGCATTCCCATTACACAGAAGGCCGACCTTTAATGGGAGTCTTGAACTCAATTGTGTTTCCTGCAGTTGGTAAACCTCACAAATGTGGATATTGTGGCCGAAGCTATAAACAGCGAAGCTCTTTAGAGGAACATAAAGAGCGCTGCCACAACTACTTGGAAAGCATGGGCCTTCCAGGCACGCTGTACCCAGGTAAGCACAGGGTTCCGAGCTGGGTCTGGACCCCTCTCCCTCCCAGCGCATCAGGAGCCCAGATACGGCCTGCTTCCCACCATGGCTGGTACAGAGGGACCTTTTTGGCCAACAACATGGCAGTTTCACCAGGAACAACACATTTTCCTTCTCTACTTTCCCAGTTCTCATCTGACTTCACATGGCTTACCTTAAAAATATTCCCTCTCTAAGATGCTAACTACCCTTAAAAGTTGCCAGTTTATTTTTCAAGTTTGTTACTTTAAACCTGAAGAAGTGTACTAGGGCTGTAGCTCAGTGGTAGGGCACTTGCTTAGCATACATTACACCCTGGGTTCTATCACTAGTACTATACAAATAAACAAAAGACAATTTTCTTTGCTTACTAATAAAAATAAACTATTCAGTCTTGTTTTTAAAATTATTTTTTCATAAGGTAAGCATGGGGGTGCATACCTATAATTCTAGAACTCTGGGAGCTTGAGACAGGTTTGAGCCCAGCCTGGGCAAGTTAGTAACACCCTATATCAAAAGTTTAAAAGAAAATAAGGGGCTGGGGATTTAGCTCAGCGGCATAAAGCACCTGCCTTGCAAGGCAGTCGTGAGTTTGATCCCTGGTACCGATAAAAAGGAAAAAGACAAAAAAAAAAAAAAGACAATAGGGTGACCAGGATTATAGCTTAGTGTGAAGACCCTAGGTTCAATCCCCAGTCCCACCAAAAGAAAAAAAGTGTTTTTCATGAAATTGATCAAATCAGAGTTTTCAGGCTATGATTTCGAAGGCAAAGTGTTCATATGTGCCTTGGGTTTGAGGGTCAAGCATGTTGGAGGATCAGAGTCAGCTCTGTTGAGGACATCAGAAGAGGAAGGAAAGGTAGCACATGTGTCTGGTGACGCACCCTGTTGTGTTACGTGATAACGTGTAACTCTGCCTTAGATAATGAAAGTGAAAGGCGGAAGGGAAGAACTGGAGAAGGCTGGATTTTCACAAAGGACAGCAGTGTAATGGAAGGCTCTCTTCTAACTTTCTAAGAGATGTGAGCTTCATATATAGATGGTTATAGTTTGTATGCAGTTGTCCCCCTAAGCCTCATGCGTTCATAGGTAGGGCTTTTGAGAGGTGATTGGATCATGGGGACTGACGATGTTAGAGCTTAGTATGACGTTTAGGTGAAACCTGGATGGAGGAGGTAGGCCACCAAGGACATGACTTGGAAGGATCTGTCTCCATCCTCCTGCCTTGATCAGTCTCTACTTCCTGCTGCCATAGGCTGTTAAGTTACAAGTGTTGGGTGTTGTGTCACAGAGATGAGAAAACAACGAAGATATAGGTAAAACGGACAAAATTCCTTCCACACCACTGGAGAAGTCATCACTGGCTGGTTGAGTAGAAGTGAGATGAATGGCTGAGGTGGTTCATACATAAAAACTATCACAAACACACTGAAGTGTTAGTGGCAAATGAGACCAAGAGAAAAAAATGGCCAGAAAAAGACTGAGAAATCTTTTCAGATCAGCGTTGACACTAAGAGGGAGCACATCCTACAGCAAAGGCTCTCCTAATGGTCAGCTGTGGACCTGGGCCAGCAGCTTCCACGGCCTTGTCCTCTTAGCTGTGAGGTGGGGAGATCCCATGGAATTCTCACTGGCCTTCCTTCGAAGTCTCAGGGCTGGACTGGAACGGAAAATGAATTGGAAAAGGAAAAACTGGATGTTAAAATAATAACGGCAATTTAGCAGTTACCAATTTGCAACCAGCCCCCAAGGCGGGGGACTGAGGGAGAATAGGATGATCTTATTCCTTTAAAATACAACGTGAACATTAAGATATTTGTCTGAAAAAATGGATTATTGTGTCTGAGAAGTAGTGTTTCTAACGATGGGGCTTGCATGTTTATGCATAACGAGCCATTGTATGTACTCAGCACCTACTCCCTAACAAGGTAACTAAAGTTCCCAGCCCTGCAGAGTAATAGCATCTGACACTCACATGGAATTGGGGAAACAAAGCCAGTGGGAGAAACCAGCCAAGGACAGGTTCTAGTTGCTGTGGCGGTCTGCAGTGCCTGTGGACACCGAGCTCCTCCCGACTCCCTTGGAGTCCATGTGTGCATTAGGATTGTAGACGCCTGCCCCTGTGCATCCATCAGCTAGTGCTTTCTGACACTGTGACAAATGCCAGAGAGGGTTACTTTATAATAGGAAAGGGGCAGGGTGGCTCACAGTATGGGGCTCCAGTCCGTGGCAGGATGGTCCTGTTGCTTTGGTCAGTGGTGAGGCAGTGTGTCATGGGGGAAGACCACTTCCGTCACCAGCTGGCAGATAAAGGAAGGAACCAGTTTCATTGTCCCCTCTGAGAGCCTCAAGACCTGAGGACTCCCGCAGACTGGACCTGTCAAGGTTCCACCACCTGCCAACAGTATCACCTGAGGGCAAGCTTGAACATGTGTGCGATTAAATTCAAGACCAAGCCAAAACAGCCAGTCACTTTTCCCTGCTGACGGCTGCTGCAGAGGTAGATAGCCGATGCTGGTAGGGCAAACCTGGAGCCTTAGGGAGATCCAGAGGAGAACTTTCATGAGTTCCTGCTGGGCTCTGTGTGGGCATCAAGGGCAAGTGGGGCCCCAGGGTCTTGGCCACATCCACTCTGCTGCTCCTCTGCTGTTCTGTGTCTGTTCTTCCACACCCCAAAGACCTGCCCAAGTCAGGGCTCAGAGGAAGCCAAGGGGTCCTTTATTTCCTAACCCTCAGACTGGTCCCTTAAACCTAATTCTGGGCGTGGAGGTATGGGGAAAGATTAATGTACCAGGACACAGTTTTCTTTAGTAGAAGATTTTAGCTGCTAATATCTCTATGCAAATAGTTTCTCTTGAACCAGAATTCACAGAGTGAGGAGTGAGCACTCTAGAGGAGGGCAGGCGGAGCCCTCCAGAGCTCTGCGGGTGGACGAGGAAACATGACCTGGGATGTACGGGCACCCTGGTCACACCACTGCCCCTGCTGTCCAGAAAAAGAGCCTGTGAGTGAGTGTTAGCTTGATAGGTCATACACGCAGCCAGTGGAAACGGATTTATGTTCATCCTTCCAGTTAAACAGGGCAGGGTACGTAGGTGTTGGGTTATTTAATAAGGAGCATGTATTTTCCACTGTTAGAAAAATGAATTGCACCAGCAATAGTATCTGATGCAAAATGTAGTTTTTTAGGTTCATAATGGCAATAAAGAGATAAAATACTTAGGATCCTTACGCATTGTGGAGGACGTAGTAAAGAAAGCTTAAAAAACAAACACCATCTGGCCTCAGTTTGCTGTTGAACCATCTAGACATAAGAAAGGACACACAGACGGTGGCTTTGGGAATCCCATTGGAATTTAGTCCCATCTGTCATAAAGGACTTGCAAGGAGGGTAAGAGGATCAGCAGCTTCTTTAAAAAGAGGGTAATGTCCAGGGTTAAATGAAATTGCAGTACTTATTATGTGTGGAGCTCTTTGAAGAATAGACAAATCAATAATAGAAATGGATACGCCTGTTAGAGGCTCTGTGATCAATCAGCATGAAATACCTGGAAACAGAAAGCCTAAGACAGAAGCAGCACTGGAAGAACTGATTCGATGTGCAGAAATAATGTTTACTTCTTCAGCTTCTGTGGCACGAGGATAAATCTCAGGGAAATGAGTTGTACTTGACTGTGGTAGCTGTGAAAAGTGGAAGTCGGTGTTGATGAGACTTAGCAGATACAAAGTTCTGTCTACAATTAGGGAGAGAGGTAGTACAGGAAAACAGGGAAATCGCCATGCCTCTGCGTTTACCTCCGCCATGTCTAAGTGTTCCTGCAGTGTGTGGTGCTGTGTGACCCTCAGACTTTGTGCACAGGGAAAGGAGCTCCGGGTTCTGACTCTCCCGGCTGCTGTGGCCATTGAAAATGTCAGATCCTCCTATGTCATTTCCCAGTGTGGCACTTGTCAGAGGGCTGCTGCTAGGATTGATTGAGTTAGTGGCCATTGCAACACTTCAGAAAGTTGAAAGGGCCTGTCAAAGGGATGTAGTTACTAAGTGGGGTCCAGCTTCATTCAGATGATAGAAGGGACTTCATTTGGTCTTAAGAGGTTGTGTATGATAAATTGGTGTCAGAGAAGGAGCCATTGCTGGGGCCGCTCACTGGCGTTACTGCAGAGCATCTCGGTCTGTCTTGGCTGGGTCACGGGAAGAATTCGAAATAACCTTGGAAAGACCCAGCTCTCTTAGGTACCTAACTGATGTCGCCTGATGTCTTGGTCTCACTGCTTACGCTGGAGTCCTTTCAATATCAGCATTTCTAAACTGGCTCTCTGTCTTTGGCTTTAGTCATTAAAGAAGAAACTAATCACAATGAGATGGCAGAAGACCTGTGCAAGATAGGATCAGAGAGATCCCTCGTGCTGGACAGAATAGCAAGTAACGTCGCCAAACGTAAGAGCTCTATGCCTCAGAAATTTCTTGGTAAGAGTTAAACGTTTGCTGTCTCTTATACAACCTCTTCCTGAGTGTTTTAGACTTAGGTGAGCATAGAGGAGAGGAATCCAGTCTGATTTTTTTAAAAACCAAAAAGTGGTAAACTTAACATTTGTTAACTATCTTAGAATATGTTTCAGTGAGTTTCACTCAATCAACAAACTCTCAGCAGTTTTTGTCGCCTGTCGTTTTGCAGCATCTGAAACCCTTTAATCTAGGGTATTGTCCTCCCAGGGGTGGCTGGGTCTCTATGGCCATAACTGCAAACCAGGGGCCCCATCACACAGAAAGATACCCCAGCATGTGCGCCTCTCTGAGTTTCGCTTTCCCTGTGGGGGACTGTGGGTATTATGGGGGTCACATAGCCACTGTCCCCCAGGAGGCGCTGAGTGAAGGGGAGACATAGTCGGGGCTAGTATTCTGACCACTGAGCCCTCACTAGTACCAAGCGCTGTGGGGAGTAGAGTGCAGGGTGAGCACCCTGTCAGAGAGACGCTGGTTAGCATAGTGGTGGATGATCTGTCCGTAACCATCACTCAGCTAGGTGCTAGGTAGCAAGGGGGACGTGGTGGCACCAAGCCACTCAGCCAGGTATGGGACAAGGCCTCTTTTTCTCTGATTTCCCATTGGCTCCAATCTTTGTGTGTTACTGTGAACCTAAAATGACCCCAGGAGAGGGAGGACATTTAAATACTCTTAGTGAAAAGGTCACCTAATGAGCAGTTGGGGAAAATCTGTCCAGGAAAAAGGAATACAGAAAGCTTCCTAAAGCTGAGAGATTGAGTGAGGAGTGAGATTTCAGCATGTTGTCAGTGTTGGGGATGTCACTAAATGGCCAGAAATAGATGGTGATGCTGGTGGTGGAGTCTGGAGCCATTGAGGAGGTGTGCTCTTGGCTGAGCTCCAGGGCCCACCAGGTACTCAGGCACCGTGCAGGTGTCCGAGGAGGCCCCCGGAAGATTGGTCTCCAATGCCGCCCCAAGAGATGGAAAGCATGGGCAAAGCAGGGGAGTAGCAGCAGCTCGGGAAGAAACAGCAAGGGCCCCCGCGGGTGCTGGGGAGAGAAGGGAGCTTGGGTGGAAGAGCAGGCAGGGCTGAGGAAGAAGCCATTCCCGCAGTCTCAGAGTTGACTCTCCACTATTTGGAAGCTGAGTTCTGGCACAGACAGCACCCTGGGCTTGGGGATGCTGGTTTTCAAAGACAGCTGGGGTGCTGGCAGAGAGGATGGAGCTAGAAGAGAGGTTAAAGAGATGGGGACCTGGGGGCCCTAGGTTGGGGGAGAGGCAGAGAAGAGTCTGGTTCTCGGGCACCAGCCTCCCCCTGGCGATGTCACATAGGGCTCTGTTTGATCTGTTGATTAAAAAGAGGTTTGTCATAGATTGGGCTTGGGAGAAGAGAAAAGAAGCATCCCTGAGAAAAGAGGGAAGCACAGTGGAGGGTCTCAATGCCGTGGGTAGCTGTGGAGCCCTAAGAATGAGGGGGTCCATGTGTTGCTGAGGAAGTAAGCCCAGGCTGAGAAGAGGCTGTGGGGGTCAGTGGGGCTCAAGCAGCATTAGATGCAGGACCTCTGAGCTCCCTACCTGGACAGCAGAGGATGGAAGGTCCCAGGGGTCCTGGCCATCATGTAGTGGGTTTGTGGGATGACCAAGTAGTAGGCAGGCACACAGCCACCAGAGTGCCCCAGGGGGCTGAGCAGTTACTGACCTCAGGAAGCTGGGGCTGGACTCTGCTTCCAGAGCAGCACCCTGGAGAGTGCCAGGCACATCAATGTGATGGTGCTTCCAGCGGCCTTAGTGATGCTGGTGTTGTCCCCATTGCTTCCGAGCAGAGGGAGGCGGTGTCTCAAGGGCCCTGCTCAGCTCCTGCAGGCCGTGTGCATCCACTGGGTGGACTCGGGAGGGCAGGCGCCCAGCTGCCCAGCTGTGTTTTAAGATTTTATTAGTGCCTGTTTGCAGTGCACAGTGGTGGCATGGACTTGCCGTGCAGTGTGGGGCATGGTCCATGGACATAGACAGAGCCTCCTCTTAATTCCTTCTATGTCCCCATCTCTCTCCACTTCTTAGGCTCCTCCCCATTTGCAAAAGCTCTGTCTCCCTGAGTCCTGGTATCTGTCAGTTTTCTCTTTAGTCTATTTATTTATCCTTAAGGTTTATCCTGTAAGAGAAACCATGCGACATGTAAGCTGGCATGTCTGATGTATTTATGGGCTCAAATGCCATCCATTTTCCTATAGATGGCTCAGCTTTATCCTCGTTTGTGGCAGAGCAGTATTCTATTTTGTTAAAATAACACATTTTATTCATCTGTTTATCTACTGATGAACGTATAGGCCACTTCCAAGAATTGTGGTGCTGTAGCCATGAGTATGCAGGGTCACTGGAATAATATGACTTTAATTCTTTTGGGACGATACCTAAAAGGGGAATAGCCAAGTCAAATGCAATTTCTGGTTTTAGTTTTCTAAGATGATCAAACGTGACAATGTATGTGACAGTGTGTCCATCACTAGAAAGCAACATAAAAGCACAGGGCTGTGTTCCTTTCATGTGACCTATGGCTCTGAGTGCATATACTTTTGCTGTATCAATATCTGAGCTCCAATTAAAAGGTTTAAATGTGCATGAGTGTGAGGTATTTGTTTTGCCCTTCAGTGTTCTCTCCCTCTGCGGTGGTCAGGGACAGGGCAGCAGGACCAAGATCTCCAGGGAGAGAGCGCTGGGTGGAACAGTGGTGCCGATCAGCAGTGTCTGCTCTGCTACCGGCAGGGGCGGGGACACTTACCACACAGCAGCACTGAACGAAAGCGGTGATCGTCCACATTCCTGCTGCCCATCACAAGTGTATCAGGAGAAGGAAATCCTGGTGTACTGTTTAAGTGTACAGAGATACACAGTATAAAGAATGTTTTGTTTTTCTTTGTTGAGGCAGGATCTTTCTAAGTCCTTAAGTTGCCTAGGCTGGGCTAGAACTTCTGATCCTCCTGCCTCAGCCTCCCAAAGTTCTAGGGTTACAGGCATGCACCTAACATATAAAGACCTTTGATGCAGAGATTCATGTCCTCAAAATCACCACGAGACCCACTTGGCATTCAGAAATCACCAATGTTAAATCAGATGTGCATTATCCTAAATGTCTGTCCTATATACACATACACATGAGAGTAAGTAGGGCAGTGGGTATGTGAACTGAGATAGGTACTTAGGAAACGGTTGCTTTCTAAAGATCCCAGCGTATTAAACATGCCTTAGATTTAACAGGCAGAAAAGATCTAGACAGTGCCTGAGGACTGGCTGATCATCAAATATTATATCCCAGAAGAAATAGTACTTTTAAAAGATTAATATTAAAAATATTTAGTACAGAAAACACAAGCTTGGAATCGTCTTTTAACCTACCTGCTGCAGTGTCAACACCACCAGCATCCACTGAATCATGTCTTTGAAAAACAAGGCCATTCCTCCAGTTTCCAGTGTGCGTGACTATATTGTTAGGTTTCTGTTCTCCAGCTTCAAGGTACACACAGTTTATTCTGTAACCATCATCTTCACAGTGTGTAGCTCATTGTTCATAACCCTGAATTCACACAGATTCAAGAATCAGACCCAGTCCTCGTAGCACTGATTCCTTTTATTTTTTTAATCATCTCTTGAGATGTCCATCCCCATGTGGCTTCAGGATGTCTCTCTGAAACCTAGGCACCCAAGAGGGGTCCATGAGGACACCCACGGCCACTCTTCCTGTGTCCCCTGAAATTCTAGATCTTGCAGTGTCTCCTGGTGGCAACATGGGATGTTGACTGTACTGTGGACATGTCTAAATCTGATCTGATATTTGTTTTCTATTTTCTCCCCTGAATGCCCCAGCTGTCTTTCTCTCTTTCTCTCTTCTTTTGTTTCTGCCTGTACTGAGAATTAAACACAGGGACTTTGCCAGCCTTCCTTATTGTCTAGTTTGAAACCAGATCTTGCTAAGTTTCCCAGGCTGAGCTTGAACCTGCACACCTGTCCCAGCCTGCCACAGTGCTGGGATTGCAGGTGTGCACCAGCGAAGACTCCTTTCCTGAGAGTTAAAATTGCTCACTGTAACTAGGAGATGTCTTTTGGGTTTGGCATTCTGAATAAAATTTTCCTCACGTTTTATTCTGCTGATTCCCCTTCTATTTGTTCTTTTTTCTGGCAAACACTCTTTCCTGTATCTTTTGCTCCATTTCTGAAAACATCTGCCTGGGTTACCAGTTGTTTGTGCATTGAATAATTTGTCATCCACACCTATTAACATTTCTTTACACTTATTTTTATTTCTTTGCATTTTTAAACTTATTCACTCTTACTATCTTATGTTTACCTCTATGCCCATAGTTCAGTTTTCTACTGTTTCTACAGTTTTATCTGTTTTGTGCTGTTTCTCGTTCATATATTCCACAATAATGTTGTTTGGGGCTTCTTTTTGTCTTCTGAGAGCTAGAATCTCTTTTTCCTTTCAGTCTGTTTGACTAACCCTGAAACTGACTCCAGATCATGAAACCCTGACGCATTTCCTGTCTTCCCTAAATTAAGTTCATCTTTCCCTAGAATGCACTTAACTGCCTTGTTTTACTTCCTTTCCTCCCTCACATCACTGGAAAATATTTGCACGGTAACTAGACATTTCATGCACTCCTGCCTCTGCCGCTTGGTCTGACGGAGCATGGCCAGTATGTCGGCTTCCTCCCACTGCAGTATCTTCTTTCCACTGCATCCAAGGCTTTCTTCTCCCATGAGCTCGACTGGCTGACTCTTCTAAGCCTAGAGGATGAGAGCCGCACCGGGTCAGGTGGCGCTGAGCAGCCTGGGCTGCCGACTTCCTTCTGCTCGCTCTCCCTCCTCATGAGATTTGGTTAAAACCCATAAACCAGCAGCACCATGGTGCTTCCTGTTCCCACAGGGGAGCTTGGCTCTGAGCCTGAAGGGCAGAGCTTTCTCTTCTGTTCTGTGTCACCTGGTTCCTACAGACAGAGACACAGCCCTGCTTGGTGACCCGAAGAGAGAGAGAACAATTCTCTGGGACATGAGAATGTTAGGCAAATGCAGGGGGTGCTGCGGGTCCACACCTGAGCTTTGGGAACTGAGCTCAGCACATGGCACAGAAGAGGCTGTGATAGAGGAATAGAGAGCTCCAGGCCAGCCGGGGCTCCTCAGAGACCCTGTCTCAGAGAGTGAGAGACAGAGACAGAAATTGGTAGGCAGATGGTGCCTGTGTCTCATGCTAGAGTTTCGGTTCTTTCCATGGTTGTAGCTAGGTAAACTTCCCTAGGAGGTGTGATTGCTGCCACCATGTTTTGTAGGTGTCTTGACTTTTCTCTTGCCATTGGGCCCCAGGGAGGAGGAATTCGTGGGTAGACTGGGTGCGCCCTGGTAATTGGCACAATGCATTTGCTGTTCCTGTTACCCATTTGTTGCTCGTGTGAAGTGTTTAAGAGAACAGAGTTTGGTGGGGCCCGGAAGTCATAGAACCATGACTGGGGAAACAGGATGTCTCCGTGGGAAAGCACCCTGGCCCCCATGTGGCCGCTGCGCGCCCATAGTCATGGAGTTGGCTGCCCTGCCTCATGCTGCTCTTTCCCAGACCTTGAACAGAGGGTTAAACATAGTGCAGGGCAGCCTGACTTGATCCTGGCTGGATGCCAAACTGAGCAGTTATTGTGAGGTCTCCAGAACACTGTCTTAAAGATACTCTTTTAAAATACGAATTTTAAGTTAATTATGATAATGTGGGGCTTGTTCGGACTTTGTCTGTTCGTTTATAGTACTAGAGATTGAACCCACACTGAGCTATATCTCTAGGCTTATTTATTTACATATATATTTATTTGTTTATTTGAGACAGGGTCTTACTGAGTTGCTAAGTCCCCCAGTGAAGCTCAGATTTACTGTTCTCCTGCCTCAGCCTCCCAGAGTGCTGGGGTTACAGATGTGCACCCCTCAGGCCCGGTTCCTGTGTCTAACATGATATGAGTAGTTAGCCAGGTGAATTACACTGTTCAGATCGGCATGGGTTCAGTGTCCTGCCCATGCTTCCAGCAGCGGTCTTGCGACATCCACTGCGGAGGGTGGCAAGTCGCATCCCCAGACACAGACACACCTATCCTAGCCTCTCCTGGCTGCAGGCACTGGGACATCCGGGTGGGAGGCCTCCCCTGCCCAGTGTAGACCCTGCTCACGGTCACTCACTTCCCACAGGGGACAAGTGCCTGTCCGACCTGCCCTATGACAGCAGCGGCAGCTACGAGAAGGAGAACGAGATGATGACATCACACGTGATGGACCAGGCCATCAACAACGCCATCAACTACCTGGGGGCCGAATCCCTGCGGCCCCTGGTGCAGACGCCCCCTGGGGGCTCTGAGGTGGTTCCCGTCATCAGCTCGCTGTACCCGCTGCACAAGCCCGGGCCTGAGGGCCCCCAGAGGCCACCGCCCTCGGCGCAGGACAGTGCGGTAGAGAACTTGCTACTGCTGTCCAAGGCCAAGTGTACATCCTCGGAGCGTGAGGCTTCCCCGAGCAACAGCTGCCAAGACTCAACGGACACGGAGAGCAATACAGAGGAGCAGCGGGGCGGCCTCATCTACCTGAGCAGCCACCTGGGCCCGCATGCACGCAATGGGCTGGTGCTCAAGGAGGAGCAGCGTGCCTTCGAGAATGCGCATGACGCCTTCCGCGTGCTCAGCACAAGCGGCGAACAGGTCAAGGCCTACCGTTGTGAACACTGCCGCGTGCTCTTCCTCGACCACGTGATGTACACCATCCACATGGGCTGCCACGGCTTCCGCGACCCCTTCGAGTGCAACATGTGTGGCTACCACAGCCAGGACAGGTACGAGTTCTCCTCGCACATCACGCGCGGCGAGCATCGCTTCCCCATGAGCTAAGCTCCCGCTTACTGCCCCATCTCCCTCCTGCTCACTCGTGCCCACCCAGACCCCTGGGCGTGCGTTTGTACATGGCTTCTGTCTTCTTTGAACTTGGTTGGTTGGGGTTAGTTGATTTGCTTGGAAATGCAAGGGTTTCCTTGTCGATAGACGCAGAGTTGTATTGGATGCACCCGAGCTTCTGTCTCGCTGGAAGTTTCTGTAGACTCCTAGCTGAAGTTCCCTCACCCATGACTCCCTAGCTTCCCCTTCTCCAAAGTGAGCCTGAATTTCCTGAGAGATTTAAGTAAAGCAAGACAGAGGCTGGATAGGAGTGAGATGGTCCAGGCGTCCTCCACAGCCCTGGAGCAGCCGGTGCAGCCCAGCCGAAGAGCCACAAACCGGGTCAGCCGCTGCATGGGGAGAGAGCCAGCAGCCTATGCCCAGGCCATGGCCCTGGCCCTGGCCACCTGCATCTGGAGCAGAAGGCTGCCCTTTGGAAGAGATCATACAAAGCAACCCCTGTGTAGAAAAACTGGGACAAGCACTGTTGGGCCACCCGGGCAAGGAGGGGAAGTGACCAAGCCTCATAGACCCAGCTTCCGGTTTCTGAATGTCCCAGGGCTGCCTGGGTGCCATGAGGCTTCCTGAGGCTGTTGCAAGGTAGACGGGCCCAGCAGTCCTGGGGACAGTGCAGGGAGCCCTGTTTCTGCTTCCTTGTTCTGTGTCATGAAGGCCCCAAAGTGTGTCACTACACTCTGACCACCAGCCATGGAACTGGAGCCTTCGTTCTCCCTGAACCTCCCAAGCAGTCTGCTTCCTCCTAAACCAAAGCTTCCCTCCAATGCCACTCTCCTTTCCTGTGTCTCTGCTCCTCCTGCGGCTGATTCTGCCCAAGACCAGCACCTGGCATCCTCTCGCCTGCTGGGACCTTGTAGCCTGGGCTGGGATGTCTGAGTGCTGCTCCCCTCACCACCACCCTACCCCATCCACTCTCCTGCACCCTGGTGCGGTTTGGGAGTAGGTGGAGGCTGAGTTCCAGTGACCGCTCATTTTTAGATCAAGAGAGATGCAGAGCCCAGCACTGTGGCTGCTGACACAGAGAACTCCCCTGTTTGAAGCTAAATTGTGAAGTATTCATAGACTCTCCTCCATAAAGACACAGCAGTGTAGGGCCACACAGAAGCAGGAAGTGTGGAGCTGCAGCCTTTCTCCCCAGGGGCTATCACGTGACTTGTCCCTGCCCCAGGCAGGAAAGCCCACCTACCTGGTCACACAAGACAGGGCTATTAGCGCTGGACCCAGCTGTGATGAAAAGGTTGCTGTGTCTCCTGCCACAAGATTGATCCTCTCTCTAAGGTCATTACTTTCTATCATCTTGGCAAAAAAAGAGCCTACCCTTCTAAATGTTTGCAGTTCTTGTCCAGAGCGAACCCAGGGTACAGGAAGGGAATGGTGGGCGAGCACCTCCGCATCCAGTGTTAACCAGCGTTCTTTTGTCAGGCATGATGGCTGGGTGGCTCCTTCCGTTGGGGGGGGGGGGTCTCTCCTGGGTAGTGTAGAGCACTCAGCACCCTTGGTCACTGCCCAGAGCACCCCCAAGAATGTCTTACCAGGGGCAAACTCTTCAGTGAGCTCAGGGAATTCTAAGGCCACTAGAGGGCTGGAAAGCTCCCCAGAGACAGAAAGCACTGGAAGACTTTCCCCGTTAGCAAGCTCCGGCCAGACCTGTGCCCTTGGTCAGTGTCACAGCGCCTGCAGGTGAGGTTCTTGGCCCCAGTGCTCATAGATACACTTCTCCACTGGCACTTGATTTGTGCTAAAGGACAGAAGTCATAAGGATGTCACTTTCTTTGCTTCCAGAAGAGTGGTATTTTGAGGCTGGAAATAAAATTGTAGTTGTAATAGTGTAATCTCTACCACACCAATATTTGAGTGAAGAAAGAGATAAAGAACCAAGGCTGAGGATAGCTTTGGTTCAGCATCTACTCACGGAGACAGGGTGGGCCCCAACTCCTCCAACTCCACATCCCGAGGTGAGGCCTCCCCGCTTCAGCCCTGCAGTCTCAGTTTCCCTGAGCTCTGTCCTGCATCCTGAGTCATTCGGTCGAGGGCATTCTTTTTCCAGTGGCGTCCACCAAAGTGTCACTACCCAGAGCTGAAAATGTATCGGCAGGAGCTCTTGCTGGAATGCTTTGTCCATTCCTCTGATGTCTTTTTCTCTCTTTTTTTCTCTATCTTTGTCTCTCTGTCTTTCTGTGTTTGCCTCTCCCCAACCCGTCTATCTCTTCTTCTTTGTCCTTTTCATGTACTGGTTTTAGACCCAAAGCCTTTACAGTGAATTACACCCTCAGTCTCTTAACTTTTTTTTAACTTCTGAGACAGGGTCTCATTGAGTTGCCTAGACTGGGGCCAAACTTGCCATCCTCCTGCCTCAGCCTTCCAAACTGCTGAGATAACAAAACCACCAAGCCCAGTTCACTGTCTTTTATAGCCAATATAAATGTCTATTTGCACACCTTTTGTTGTGGTTTTATATTGTAACAGCATTTTGGAGGGGGGGAAACTGTTGTATTTAAAGTAAGGTTTCATATTATGTCAACAGTAATTAAATTATGTTTGAAAAGTGCCCATATTCTGTACCAAAAGTCACCGGTTTTTCTTCTAGTTGGTAAAAGTAGGATTTTGCATGACCTCTCAGTTTTTGCTCTGTGGTTTCTTTTGTTGTGTGATGGTATGTGCATGCACGTGTGTGCTTGTGTGTCTTGAGCACCAATGTGTGCTGAGGTGTGCTTCCCATTCACGTCCCCATCATGTAGAAAGGAAACAGCAGAGGCAGGAAGGTTTCCAGGAGCAGATTGGCCTTCCTGTCTCCTGCCTCTCCCCACTTTCCAGAGAGTGCCTGTGCCTGTGCTCCCTGCCCCTGGCCCCTTCTGTGTCCTTGTCCTGGTGAAGGGATCACCAAACATCATTACCCTCATTGCATTGTCACCAGAAGGTGCTCAACCCAGCTGCTTCAGACACAGGGAAGCCTCCATCGTCTGTGAACTTAATTTGGTTCTTGATTTTGGAAAAGGTGGCGACAGTGATTTCAGAAAAGGTGTGGAAAAGATGGCCATGGTTCTGTCACTGGATGAAGAGTTTGCAAGCACGTACAAAATTGAGTCCAAACCTTTCTTTTTGCAAGCCAAACTGTTTGCCAACAAAAGCATTCATGAACCAAGATACTGCTATGCCAGCCTGGACGTCTCCAGGTGGCATCTGATGCATAATGAGATCTTGGTGTCTCTGAGAAGAGAGGGAGCAGCCAGGAGGTGGAAATGCAGGTGATTTAATGGATGCTTTTGTTGGTTTGATTTTGCTTTTCTGCTCCCATGCTTCGTTCTTCCATCTTATTTTGGGGACTGTGCTGTGCTACTGGCACAGTCCTCCCCTTTGCCGAAACAAAAGCAGCAGGAACAGACTTAGGTAGCTGCGTCCAGATGCAAATATATTTCCCCACTCTATGGCTCTGTCCCAGCCATGACGAAAGGTTGCCTCTGCTAAAGCCCAGGTGTCCCTCATCCACATCCACTCCAGGGCTCTCACTTTTTAAAAATGAACCAAAATAGAGCCTTCTTTAAAATCACAGTCATCAGAAAAGATGCATATACACTTTCAGGGTGCTGGCACTCACTGTGAACAGCTATAACCCAGAATTATTTGCAGTTTCAATTCTAGGGCTTTCCAGTGCAGGTTTTTATGATGTGTGTGGTGCCTGTGAGATCCAGTCTGTTGTGCCCAGTTCTTCTTCTCCCTCCTGGCCCAGGACTGTAGTGACACCACGAAGCCCTCTCTGCAGTCAGCCTCTGTCCAGCAGAGAATGGGGCTGTACCATGGGACAGAAGAACCTTGTGTACACATTTTACAATGATTCTTTGGTAGTGGTAGAAAAAATAAACGCAGTGAACTCTGTGTCTTCCCTCTCCTGTGATGTCCACACCAGTGTCAGGGAGCTCCAGGCAGTGTGCAGAGACTCCTGCCAGTCACTGCAGGGCCTGAGGCACAGGAGGCCAGCCTGAGACAGCCCTCCTGCAGGTGGGAATACACACGACAGGCGATGAAAATGCAGGGCGAGTGGTTAAATGTTTTAAAATCACTCCGGTAAAGAAGCCCTGCCATTGATTCCCCTCATTTGAACACCTTCAGCCCATTGTTCTGGCCATTTTCTGAGGCAGCTCTGGAGTCCTTTCTAAGTTGTCTTTATGTGTGATCAAGAAGTACGCTGACTGCTTCGTGCCGTCCAACAGAAAGGCAGTCCTAAAAACACCGCATGGGGGAGGGGCTGGGGATTTAGCTCAGCGGCACAAGCATCTGCCTTGCCCCTCCCAAGGGTGGTGTGAGCGTGGATGGACGCACAAGCATGCAGTGGGCAGCTGGAGAGAGGGTGGACAAAGGTCCCCAGTCCTATCTCCAGTGACCGTGACTGCAGCACATTTGCCATCAAAACACCTGAGTGGTGCAAGTCCTGTTGACACTTTGCACTCTTCAGACATCTCAGGCACCCGCCTCCGCCTCCTACACAGCTTGGCTTTGAACACTGGCACAGAGCAGAGAAAGCTCCAGCAGCCAGAGCAGGGCCTCCCCCAGTGTCCTGGGGACCCGCACCCTTTCACAATGCTGGAGCCAACAGTGGTCCCCAGGGGTGTGGTGCCCACACTTCAGTACCACCTTCTCTCTGCTTCCCCGTGTCCCTGTCATTACCCTGGGGGCAGAGAGGGATTTCCCTCTGGCCCCAAATTGTCTGCACTGAGCAGCCGACGCTGAGACAGGCAGCCTTGTCTGTGTGCAGCTACTCGCACTGTGACGTGGAAAACACACCCTGAGGTCTGGAGGACCAGTTACGAGCTCATGTGGATCACATCCTCAGCATCTGGGGAGCACTAAGCATGGGGTTGGGCTGCCCCGGCTTTCCTGCCTGGCCTGCAGTGGTGCAACACTTCCTACATTCCCTTCTCTCATCTCCTTGACAACCTGGTGAGCCACACGCAGTGTCCACGTCTCCATCCTAGAGACCACGTGGTGCACATGTGTCCTCCATACACAACTGGGCCAGCCTGAGGCCCCATCCCATCACACACACAGACACCACCAAGGTAGCCTCCCACCAGGTGGGAGTCCAGGACCCTACGGTGAGGAGTGGCCCCAGACCCTACCCGCTGCCAGCTCCCACGTCACCTCCGCAGTGTGCCCCTCGGAGTACAGGGCTTTGATCCCCGAGCCACACAGCAGTATCATGGCCTCACACACACCCATCCCCAAGTCACACCTCAATCTCCCAGCCTCACTTTGGGACAGCCATCCTCCCTGGGACTCAGGCAGGGACTAAGCAAAGTTCCAGGGGCACAGGGAGGGAGGGGGAGAGGCAGCCTCAGCAGGGAGCAGGGGTGGGGGACTCAGCCTGGAAACAGAAGACGCAGGAAGAGAAACGAGATTGGGTGAGAGACACAAGAGGGCACTGGGAGCCCTAAACCCTAACTCTAACCCTTAGCAAGGGCCCTGAAAATGCAAGCAAAGCCACACTGTGACCCAAAAACCCCACCTTGGCCAGGATCGCCCCCAGGAGACTAGACCTCCTGCCCCCAGCCCCACCCCAGGGACTCCACTTGGTGCCTTCTCTGTCACTGTGCATTTCCTCCCAGTTCCTGATGCTCAGTTCCAGCTCACTTGTGGGCTCACTGGGGACTGAGCTGGGAATGGAGAGTCTGGGAAGGTGAGAAAGTTCTAGATAGAAAGGATGCCCCAACATCAGGTAGTGCGGGGCTCTGAGGACCCTGTCCCTTTGGGACTTGCAGAATGACTGGACCCCGAAGGGGGCTGGGGGGACAAGGGCTCCCCACACAGAATAGCCCTGGGCAGGAGGGCTGAGGTCCATGGTGCAGTCTGGGCCAGAAGGGCGCGCAGGAGGAGACTGGGCCATCATAGAGAAATTCAGGTTAAAGAGAGAACATGAGTTTGAGCCCCAGGAGCTGCAGGGGAGAGCGCTGTTCTCCAAGGGCAGGACAGACTCAAGGACTGGGCTCCACAGCAAGGAGAGGAGGCTAAGTCAGAGCCACACCACGGTGCCCACTGGCAGGAGAGGAGGGAACTAGGCTGCCTGCCATTGGGTGCCATGTCCAGGAACAGGCATCTTCTAAGACATGCAGTGTGTTCTTGATGTCAAGAGGAGCAGCCAAAACCTGCTGCTATGGGTGCTCCAGAAACACCCAGTGCCCAGTCATCTGTTTCAGGTAATTAGACCTAGTGCACTCCACAGAGAATTGCAAGTTCGAGCCCAGTCCAGGCCACTTCGTGTCTTAGTGAGACCTTGTCTCAAAATGGGAAATAAGCAAAGGGAGCTGGGAATGGAGCTCAATGCGAAGGCCCTGGGTTCAATCCCCCGTACTGCAAAAGAAAAAAAAAAAGAAAAATCCCCAGCTAGGATCACACACAGGAAAGTGGTGATCGGGCAGGCACAGCCACACAGGTGGAGGCACCTCTAACCCTGCCAGCCCAGATTCAGCTGGTGCTTCCAAAAGGCACAGGTTCCCCTCAGGAGCAAGGGGGTTGGGTCCCACGCACAAGTGCATGGCTTCCCCTACTTTTGACCAAGCCGACTCCCCCTGACCCCTGTTCCCATGCTGCTTCTGATAGGATGCCTCTCCGTGCCCAGCATCTGGTGCCCTGCTCGTGCCCCCTCCCAAGCCACAGCAGCAGCTCCCCCAGGCCAGGGACCAGATGGGCCCGGGAGACTTGGTGAACCGAATCAGCAGGAGGGGAAGCAGATGTGCCCACCGAAGTCCCCAGCACAGCCACCACCCGCCACCAGGGGAGGAGATTTGCATAACAGGGATAATTTGGTCGCAAAACTGTCCCCTGCAGCAGACTACATGGATCTCGGTACAGCTCAGAGATTTCACTTCTTGTTTCCCGTTGTCTCAAACCAACCCAACGTAACGCCCGGCGTGTGAATTGTCCAAAGATTTTTTTCCATCTCCCTCATGACTCAGCCCCAGACCTTCTCTCCCCACTCTGCTCTACTACACCCCTGGACCCAAGGGAGAGACAGAGGCAGAGACAGAGACAGAGACAGAGACAGAGAGTGCCACCGGGTACAGGCCAAGCAGGAGCCTCCGTTCCCAGACTCAGTGCATGGAATCCCAGCTCCCAGCAGCCTGGATGCTGTCCGCTGTCCCAGTCACCTCACCTTGCTGCCACCTGCCCATGCGTCCTCAGCGTGTCAATCCCATAGCTTTTGCCTGCACAGGCCTGGCCCTGCCACGTGAGGAGACCCTGCCTCGATTCCCCTTTCAGGGCCCTCCTCCTCACCCACGATGGGCACTGCACTGACCTTCAGCAAACCCATGGGCCCCTCTCCCCACACCCACTCCCCACCTCTGAAAGCACCACAAGTTCTGCTCTAAATGTTAGATTTAAGCTGGCTGTGGTGGCCCACGCCTGTGATTCCCAGCTGCTCAGGAGGCTGAGCCAGGAAGATTGCAGGTTTGAGGCCAGCCTGAGTGGTGAAGCGAACACCCTTGTCTCCAAAGGAAAACAACAAAAGGGCTGGGGAGGTAGCTCACTTCGAAGGCCTAGGATTTCAACCCCAGAACCACTGAATAAAAATAAATACTGGGTTTATACTACTTCTCGGGCTGTGCTTTTATATCCATGG